GTATGGTGATTAACATAACATAATAAAATTAAATTAAAAAAAAGAAAAACAAAAAAAGACTTTATTTATTTGAGAGAAAGAGAGAGAGTAAGAGAGAGAGCATGGGAGGGGGAAGGGTCAGAGGGAGAAGCCAGCTCCCTGCTAAGCAGGGAACGGGATGGATGCAGGACTCGATCCCAGGACCTCGGGATCATGACCTGAGCCAAAGGCAGTCACTTAACCAACTGAGCCACCCAGGCGCCCAATTTTTATAATTTCTACTGTCAACCTCAAGAATTTTCAACCCCATTAAATAACAGTCTATGTTTTAAAACTTACTGCTTTCTACTCTAGGAGGACATGTAAAGCTAAATGTTAGGACACGTTATGATTTCCACTTTCCTATTTTCACTCAAGGTACTTGTTGGCACACCAATTCACTCTGTCACTATATGAGTTAACGTTATTTTCATAACTTTCTTTCATGGTGTTCAGCTTTCCCTTTGAAAACTCCCATTAACATTTCTTCTTGTTCTAAAATGAGTAGGCAGAAGTGTCAGCTATCTGAGGAGGATGTGTTTGGCTGAACTAGAATTTTCCTCAGTTCCTAATCCAAGAGCTGTACTTTGAGAAAATGTCATAATTCATAAAAAGATAAGGTTTAATGAAATTGTCAGGTTGTCCAATCTGTATTTCAGATGGTTGGGGATAGTAATTCAGCAAATAAATTTTTATTTCTATAAATATAGGCTAATCACTTATGAAGTGTGATTAGTTACAATAAGATCTTTCATTTAATGAGTAATTATTTTGTGAAAAATGTAAATCTAAGTGCTACCTGCACTTCTCATTTTTATTCCTATTTAAGAGAAGAGATAGCAGAGGCATGGAGACACATAAGACACTTTCTTAAGATTCTACAGCTACTAAGCTAAAAGAGCTAGGATCTGAACCCACACTTTCTGAATGTGGCTTCCAACCTCTTAGCCAACCTTCTGAACTTCTATTAGAGCCTAATGTGGCAAGTCAATATTTTTGTGGGTGATAAAACTTTGCACATGCACTCAGTTATTGCTGGTGGAATGAATATACAAGAAGATGCATGAATAATTGAGTGAATGTATTAGCAAATGAGTTTTTAGTGGCATATAGCATAACTGATATATTCTCATGCAAAAAATTAATTTTTAGAAAGAGATTTCCTATCGTGGCATGACACATTTCTGGAATATCGTGAAAAATGTGAATTCACATATTTAATTTTATCATTAACTTGGGACAGAGAAAAAAAATCATTGAGTTGCATGGAACCAGACCATCTATCTGTTACTGGCAGTCACTTTATTTTGAATGACAATACCAAGTGTCAGTAGGACAGTGTTTATCTTTTTTCAAGCTAACAATTTAAATAAAATGCAGTTTGATAGAAATATATATATATATATATATACAAAAGCGTACATGTACATACTTTTTATTTTATTTCATATTTATACATGATATTTTGCTAAAAATTATACATATGAGGCTTTAAACTCCAGTGTACCCTTGTGTCTATCTGTTTAGTATATGGGCAGCTTGGTTTGATTTTCCTCAAAACAACTATTACCGGTTCATGCCAACAAATCTGTCTGCTACAAACAGGCGCCGTCAACATTCTGTTTCCTAAAATAATTTCTTAGCAAAAATTTAAACTCATTCTCTTATTTGTTATTACTCAATCAACAATCATTATGGCCAAGATAGCTGAAATTATCAGAGATTCTATTTGTCTTACTAATAATGGTGGTGCCTTACAGTGTCCTTCTGGACTTGTTTTCTGAGACTTAACAGAATAGAAGACAACCTTGGGCATTTTATGTACATGTGTGTGCGTGTATGTATGCACATATGCATGTGCATGATTTTGGAGCTTCCTAATCAGTAGGGGAAAAAAGAACACCTTTACTGTTCAGAGGATTTGCAATATCATTCACAGTCCCTTAGCTAGAAGAAGTTTTCCTTGGACAAGCAGAATTCCCTTTCTTATTTCATGTATAAGTTGAGTAAAAAACAGACTAAATAAAATAGTCTTTTAAAAAATTCTTCAATTAAGGGGAAAAGTTTTGATAAGATGTTTATCAATGTCAACTAAACCACACTGTCAAGAACTGAGGATCTTTAGACATTCTCAAGACATTTACAAGCATCACACAGTTGCAAGAGAATGCAGAAATAAATGTACTAAAAGATCAAATGGCATCAAAATCCTTTGGCTTGGATTTCCGCTTCTGGTCAAATTAGTGTAACAGGGACCAGATTTAGCCTCTTGGCTAAAAACTGAAGAAAATGGGCAAAATATATGAAATGATGGTTTTGAAGACATTAGATACCTGTCAATGAAAGATACTGATCTCTGAGAAATTAGAAACAAATGAGGTGACTCCACAATTATTACCACTTACTATCTAGAAAGAGTTCCAGGCTATGACAAAGGATAAAGAAACCCTCACAAAACTAGGAGGTCTCTTTGAGTGGATGAGATGAAGCTGGGACTTCCAGGAGGCCAAGATGGCTAGAGTTCACAGGGCAGAGTACCAAACAGGAGAAATATACACAGGGAGAGAACACTGGAGACCCCCAGAGAGCTCCCTTCCAGGCTTCAGTGGAGTCCTGATCAGCTCTTACATGTGAGCAAACTACACATGATGAGGGAGAAAACTATGCAAAAAGATGAAAAGTAACAGCCACCAGAGCTCACACACAGCTGGGATAGTGCCTGTTCTTGCCAGCCACTGTGGAAAACCTCATCATTCACAGGGCATCAGAGAGCATACTCAGAAGGCTTTTGACTCAGTAGTGGAGCAAAATTAGCCCTAGACTTAGCTGTTCTGCTTAAAACTCACAAAGTCTAAAAGAGAGATGCTCAAAAGATCAAGCTGCTTCCAAGTAAATTAACTGTGTCCCAGAACAAAGGTCAAGAATATTTATCAGCACAAAAATACCGAGCACTCAATAAGTTATAATTCACAACATCCGGCATCCAGTCAAAATTACCATTCGTCCAAAGAAGCAGGAAAAAAAGACCCATAATGAAGAGAAAACTTAACTGAAAATGACCTGAAAGAGACACAGATGATAGAATTAATAGACAAGGACGTTATACCAGTTGTTATAATTGTATTCCATATTTTCCAAAAGGTAGAGGAAAGATTGACAAATTGAGTAGAGACATGAAAGATGTAAAAAGACCCAAGTCACACTTCAACAAGGTGTTGAATCACACAAAACAACAGTGTCTAAGGTTAAAAATATACACTACATGGGATTAACCACAGATTAGATATTGCAAAGGATTAGATTGGTCAATTTGACAATATAAATCATGTAATATGAATTACACAGAAAAAGGACTGAAAATAAAAAGAATACATTAAAAATAATGCCTGAAAAATTCTAAATTTGATGAAAACTAAAAACCCATAATTCAAAGAAGCTTAACAGACCTCGAGAACAAGAAACGTGAAGAAAATGATACCAAGGCACATCATAAACCAATTGCTCGATTTCCAAAAGCACTCCCTAATAACCCTTCTGTATGTAATCTCCATCTCAGAGGGGGCCCAAAGATGCTGACCTGAAATATGTACCAAAATCCATATTAAAACGACCACTCTCTGAGGAGTAGAATGGAAGTATACATACACTTCTGCATTGCTTTATTTTTTTATAGTGAGTATATATTTTTTAAATAATAAAAACCAGATTAAAATGTATAACTACTTTCTGTAGGTTATCTCTGGAAATGGCAAGAGGTTTAACATCTCCTCAAGTACAGCTTAGCGGCACATATTTTCGAGACCTACTAATGCTGCATTAGCCCCAAATTTACTTTAGTGCTATTACAAAATATATTTTTTATATGATGGCATATTGGAAAGCCATGGATTTCCTCTATCTTCAATGCCGATGCTGATGTATATACAAGTTTTATGGATATACACATGATTACACAAGATTTTAAAATTCTTCATATTATATGTTTACACAGCTTACCTATATGTATGTGCTTACATGCTTACTTAATATCATAAGATATTTTTGCTATGCAAGAAATTACATGAGAATAGAGAACTGTAAAGTTGAATATGATGTTGCTTTTATGAATCCTGCATTTTGAAATGTCTGAACATATAATAAATTACCTTTTACTTTGCTTTCATCTGTCTTAATCAGTATTTTATGGCATTAAAAATTGGCCACAACTCAAATCTGCTTGACTGAAAAGTGATACATGAACAATTTGAGGTAAAAAGTTACCAAAATACTTTAGACTTGGTATAATAAACTCAATATTTCCTGTCCTTAACTGTATATTTTATAACCTAAGTTATAACCTCCAAAATCTAATTCATCTTTATCTGCATACTCAAAAGACACAGCAAGTTGAAATTAAACTGTACACTGGTTATAATCCATATGTTGCATTTCCATTAACACAAACCATAAAAAAGTCAATAAGTACCACCAATTAACTCTGCATTGTTTTGGCCTCTGGACTATCTCAGAAGGCATTCTGTCAAGAGAATATATAGAAATATTGCTACATCACCACAATTGTCTCTAGGGAAACAGAACTGTAATTTTATCATGATGGATATTTCCAGCAACTGCATTATTGTTAAGTATACCACAAGTTCTCCTGTACAGGATTCAACATAAGGCAAAAACACACACTGCCTCAAAGCCACAGGACACCATGCTATAAGATTCTTCCCTGTATCACAGATTCAATTACACTTTGCAGTTCATCAGATAAACCAGTTAGATCTAGGCTAACTCTCACCCTAACACAAATAGTCCACAGCACAGGCTCCCAACATGGTATTCTGATGATGTTCTAGTACGTGTAGTGATGACAACAAAAGTTGGGAATTATAAATTTCCATCATCCTTCACAACCTGAACTTAAAGAAGTTAAACAGTTGCAATATCGTGGCGAAGACAAAGACAGTTTGAAAAAAGAGATCTTAAAACCTTACCTTCAGATACCATTTGTATTTGGCATGTTCCCAATTCTCAGGGATTTGTGTCTTTTTGAGAAACTGTTCCGCCTCGGTTAGCCATTGATTGAGTATCTTCATATCATAATGAAACCTCCGCCATTTTTCCACAGATCTGTCAAATCGCCTAGAGGCAAAAAATATGGATCAAGAAAAATAAATGGATTATACAAATTACATGGACATAGCATATATGCTATGTTATGTGGAGAAGGATATTATTTTGATAGTTTCTCACATTTGTAGATTTGAATTTCAATTAACAGAAATAAATTATACTGAATAAAAAGGATGAATTAAAAGGCTGTGATTTTTGCTTCAAAATCAAACACATTTCTTGAATGAAACAAAGATAAAAATAACAATTATGTAGTATTAAGATTTTCTTCCCTATGAGCATATTTAATTTAAAAAATTCCAGGAATTTAAAAAATATATATTAGCATCTAAGAAATTAAGTATTTTGCAGCTAGATATTCAATAACAACATATTTTTTGGATCAAAATCTAATTATCTGCACTAGGTGTTAAATGTAAATGGCGAATCACTAAATTCTACTCCTGAAGCCAATGTTACCCTATATGTCAACTAACTAGAATTTAAATAAAAACTTGAAGCAAAAAAAAAAAATCAAATTATCTCATGAAGCCTATCAATTTCCATATTACTTTTGATCCAAAAGAGTTTATGCATTAAGGTTCTCAAGCATCCAGGATAACAGATTTAACCAACTAACTGATCTATTAGTCTAAACCAGGTGATGAGTGTTATCTTCCTTTAATCTTCTTGTTTTGTTGTATCTGCTAATATTTTCAATTGGAATGCTGAAGGAACTCAGTGCAAGGTACTGTGTTAGTATCGCACATGGAAAGAATGTTAAGAAGGAGGTACCTGGTCATGTTCTGGTCACAGAAGTGACTGAGGCAGAAACAAGCCAGGGTTGTATGTTGACCTTAAGACAGTTGCACATAAAAATCACCAATTAAATCAGTATCTTTGCGGGTGGGATCCTGACACTGGTATTTTTAAAAACACCCAAGTGATTCTAATGTATAGTCAAGGTGAAAAACATTCTATAAAGTAAGTTTTAAAGTCTTAAGGGTGTTATGAACTACTGGGTCTCCTGGGGCCTGTCCAAAAAGGTATTTGCTAGCATTAAACCAAAAGCCATCCTGAAAATTCCTGGCTGTGGGGCTGCCTCAGAGTCCAGGAACCTGTAGAAGTTCTCTGAGGTCTACTCTTAAGATGTAGTGGGTTATAGTTCTGAACATCTCGACATCTTTTCAGATCTCTACCCCCATTTAGGAAATTTAAATAATCTTAGAACTTAAATAATGCCCCAACTCCCTATTGTTTCAGTGGGAAAGGAATGGAATTAACGTTTCTTTATCAGTTACTATGATCCAGGCACTGGGCTCCGTGTTTTTACTTATTTCATGGACTCCTACAACAACCCCTACAACATAACAATTATTATTCCCATTTTCCACTGGAGAAAAGTGAGAGTCTGAGCAGTCTGCCAAAAGGTAAACAGGAATAAAATGATAGAAAGGGGATTCTCAGATCTCTCTGGCTTCAATGGTGCCTTTCATGGTCTTCCATGCTCTTTGGTAGGATTTCCTTTTTTTCAAGATGAAGTCTTACTAGCTAAATAATTCAAAGATATAGTTGTTGGGGTTTTCTTTCTTCTTCTTTATCATCTTCTAAATAATGTATCTACATCTACAATGCATTTTATCAGACACCACACTTGATAATTAACTATATTTTTCTTTTTTAAAGATTTCCTTATTTAATTTATTTGAGTGGGGAGGGGCAGAGGGAGAAGAAGAGAGAAACTTCAGCAGACTCCGCACTGAGCATAGAGCCCAATATGGGTCTCAGTCTCATGACTCTAAGATCAGGGCCCTGAGATCACAACCTGAGCCGAAACCAAGAGTCAGACATCTAACCAACTGTGTCACCCAGGCACCCCAACTATGTTTCTTACTTTAAAAATACCTAAAACAGTATTTTGGTAGCATTAAAAAAGGCAGCCAATGGTAGCCAAAAGGGGTAGTCTTTAACTATAGATAGTTTAAAAATAAGAATTCAGCCTTTAATAATTAAAGGCATTCTAGGGTTGATCAAATGTGATATAACCATCAGCCACAAAATGATCTTGGAAACATTTTGTGTGGTGTAATGATAATTATGTTTCCATATATTTTCAGCACTATATAATACACAATAAATGACTTAAGAATACATCTTAAGAATTTACTCCCTTTATTTTTAAGATTTTATTTATTTATTTGAGAAAGAGAGGAGGAGGAGAGGGAGAGGGACAAGCAGACTCCATGCTGAGCACAGAGCCCAACATGGGGCTCGATCTCTAGACCCTGAGAACCAACTGAGCCACTCAGGTGCCCCAAGAATTTATCCCCTTTAAAAGAAAACTGTACATTGCTTATATCTCATAGTTACTCACATCACGAGTCAAAGTTTTTGTTAAGTGAGAAGCTAAAAAATGATGAGGCATAGTTGGTATTTTTCCATCTTGGTGAGACTACAGTTGATTTCAATTATCATTATATTTTTCTACGTTGTAAAGTTTTTCTACAATGTGCATTTCACACTTTGATAGAAAAAATACAGTAACTTGAAAATAATTTTAAAAGGCAGTTTCACACGTTAATGACTACTACCTCCAACTCTCTTCCTGCTACCACAGTTTGAGAAACAGGCAGAAGCTAACCAGAACACAGAAGAGTTGGCATTTGGTCACCATTTACCATTCCTCCACATTTGTAGCAGCCATTGGTCCCCTTCTTACTTTGCTTTTCTTCTCCCTGATCCCACCACCAGAATTATTCTCTTGCCAACTCTTTTCAGCTACTGGCAGGTGACTGTTTTTCCAACATTTGTGCTGTAAATGCCAACTCTTCAATCCAGGCTGATGCACAGACGTGTCCCTCCAGCATTCAGAGCACTGGCAGTTACCACCTTCCACTAGATTCCACAAAACCTCCTTCCTCCCCAACCAACCCCTGTTCCTCTTCACAGATTATCTTTCCTCTAAATTCCCCCAAACAAGAAAACCATAAGGGCCCCTACAATTAATCATGGCACCCCTAGCTCTGCAAGACACAGCTGGAGGTAGGAAGAAAAGGGAAACATGCTATAGTCCCGGGCTCTCTATTTTCCATCCTTGTTCCAGGCCCACAAAAATGAATCAGGATGGATTTGTCAGCCACACAGGACTATCTGTGGTTCCCCATGCCCTGCTACTGCCTCAGAGCTCTGTGACTTGGCACATTAGTTCCATATGCTTGAAAGGCCTTCTTGCCCTCTTGCAACCTTTTCCCCAACTCCTGCAAAGCAAATTTTTGCATTAAAAGACTTGGTTTGAACTACTTACACTGTGACTTTGTAAACATCTAAATCTAGAATACTCATTATAGACTGCAAGTGCTAAAACTTTGAAAACTGTAAAGTTGATTTAATTTTATTATTAAAATTAATGTTAAAATGAGTAATTCTATTCAAACAAAATATTAAAGTATAAAAGCATGCACTTTACACGTGATGGCATTTAATGTGAGTAATAATGTTTGAAACTCCATTTCAAGCATTGCATAAAATTTTAGAATATACTTTTCAGCATTTTAATGTTCGTTAACAGCAAAGTCTAAATCTATTCTTGAAATTACTATGTAAAATTTCATTTTTTATCATGACTGCTTTGAAACTTAGACCCTTTCCCACCAAAGAAATTCTGAATGAATAGATACAAATTTTGCTAGTTTTACAATGTTACATTTGTAAGTTTAATCTCTAATCAGTCACTAGGCTCCCTAAACTCCTCTCACTCCATTAATTGGACTGTCCAGGATTGAGGAAAAAGGCAGTAAGACCTACAAATACATAGAGATATTAAAAATACCATTCAGGAAAATAAATACAAGTGTTACCCTCTATGTTATTACTAGGGGAAAAAATGTTGTTGCTTTTTTCCCTGGCAGTAAGAGGAAATGTAAAACCAACCAAATAAAGGACAAAAATGGCAGTATAAACATATGGATAATAAATCAAGTGATTTTAAAATTTTGCAAATATTAAAATTCTTATTCACTATGCAAGCAGTATTTAAAATTACACTGCTGCTTCATTTATGTGCGGCATAACTTACTTCCTGCTGTTCTAAATCAAGTTAGTCAGATTATTCTCAAGCATAAATTACATTTAGGGAGTAATTTAGGTACTTTGGGACATACTTTAACACTTTCAGGTCATTAAGGTGGTGCTCAATTCTATGAAATAGATTTAAATAAATAATATCCTAGTAGCCTTCTGACACATCCACTGTGGCTTTATACCTAAGTCAGCTAACTCAGCATTAGGCTGTTGGTTATTTCTTCCTACATATTTCATCTTTGATGAGATGAGTGGGAGGTACCTTGCCTAAAGCCTCGTGGTCCAAACTGTAGGTGGGGATAAAGTTAAATTAGTTCTTTGTCCCAAATCATAGTACCTTACTCCTCCCTACCCACCCTCTTCCTCACTTTCCCAGTAATATAATTTTGTAGTAAAACCTAAGTATGTTAACAGTTAGAAAGGTTTTTTCCTACAGAACCTGACTTAAACTCTGAGAAGCTCTCCCATGGCTCCAACTCTGCCCACCTCTCTTATCTCTTTTTATTTTTCTCTCCTAAGGCACTGCCCCAGATTTCTAGGCTAAAGTGTGTCCTCTGGTGTCTATTTTTTTTTATACTGGACCCAGGTCCACTCATGTATGACTGACCGTCTCACTGCACTCACTCACTAGATACAGGCTTCTACCTGAACCCACGACCTCATCTTTTCAAGCAGACAGAGCCCAGTGGTCACACTGCCAAGGTTGGAATTCTGGCTTCATCATTTACTGTATGGCCTTGGGCAAGTAAGGGACCTCTCTGAAAAGTAAGTATGAAAGTAGTACCTACCTCCTCCTAAAGGTTAATTGTGTGGGTGAAATGAATGAAAGTATTTAAATTTCTAAGAAAAGTATCTGGCAGTGTTTGACAAACAGTTGTAGTAGTTATTGGTGTAATCGTTCTGCCTCTATTTGGCTTAGGTTTTCAAATGCAAATCAAATCACCAATATA